TTTGCCTGTGCTTCCCTCCTGAAACGTGGGGCAGCGTTTTGTGTCTGCCCTTTACAAACCCATCTCCTGCTCCCATCGCCAGAGCCAGATTCTGCACGTTGCCTCCGTCGCTGAAAAGACCCCGAGGATCATTTTTTGCCCTTTAATGCAGCTCCTGAAATTGCTTTTCGGTTTCTTGCCTGTCCTCGTTTTGCATGGAAATGCGTTCGCTTGTCTAGAAACGTGCTTCCCGGCAAGGACCCAGGCACCCCTGAGAAGCACTGAAATATTTAAACTTTGTGCAAATGAAGCCAGCTCCTGCTTAAGAAAGCGATTTGCAAGCAGTGCACTCACCTGTGAGTCGTCGGCAATCAGGAGGAGTGAGAGAGAGCTCACGGTGGCACGTAGCTGTCTCAGAGTAAGGAGAAAGACATCGGGAACATTAGCCTGAACTTGTGTATCCTTCCTTTTCTTTTATTGTTATTAAGCGGGCTGCGATATCTTTTTTTCTCTCTATGGAAACGCTTCCCCCCTCCTTCGTGTATATATAAAAATGAGTGATCACGGGGTTTGAGTCGTAACTCCAGACGTGGAGCCTTCCTTGGGACATGATTTCATTAAAATGAAATCAGAAAGAGCTGGCAACGTCACGGAGCTGAGAGGTCTCCTCTCATTCAGAAACAGCCCCCCTCTCCCCGAGCCAGCTATCGGGAATCGCACCAAGCAGAAGAGCTCTTGCAAACTCCGAAACTCTGCAGACGGTGTCTGTGCACACACATGTACACACACATACATGCACACACACGCGTGCTGTTCCCTACAACCATCCTGTCTGCAAGCGAGAGAAGCTCCACTCTTTTGAGACACCTTTTTCATGGTGTTTAGGCGCCCGGGGGGGGTTTCTAAAGCACCCAGATATCTACCTCTCAAGCAGAGGGAGCCTCCTTCAGACAGGCCGAGCAACCATCGACCCCCGGTGCAGCTCCGTCATCCGCAATGAAGTCCCATCGCAGCTAGACTTGCTCGGTCGCGTTGCCCAGGCTGCGGGTGGGCTGGAGGCAGAGGCGTTTTGTCTTTGCATCAGAGGTGGGGTAAACTGAGGCAGCGCTGTTCTGAGACCAAGGCTGCCGAATGAATTGGGGCTGAATTAATCTGGGGACGGCCTCTTCCAAACGCCGGCTCCACCGTTCTCCGTTCCTTTGGTTGTCAAATTTACCGATTGTGGCCTGGGCCTCCCCTGGCCAAGCAGCCAAATGCCGGGTTCTGCTTAGGGGAATCCCATTTTCCCCCCTGAAATTTGGTATCTAGCTGAATCAGACCAAAAGCCTCCCAAAACCTTCTGGAGAAATGAGAGGTTCCTGTGTCCTGCCGCTGCACCCAAGAAAAGGTCCTTCCGGTCAGGTTCAGTGGCAAAACTGCCAATAAGTCTATTTTACCAACCCGCTGCAAGCGGTGCGGGCTCCGGATCACCTGCCTCCAGTTTGGGGGGAGTTTGTCCAACCTGGGTTGGTTCAAATGCAGCGTTCCCGGTCCGAGGAACCCGCCTTCTCGATCAGACGTTGCTTCCAGCTTGCTCGAAACATTATGTATTTACCTGAGCCAAAGGTGCTGAATCCCCACGATGCCCACTGGCTCGGTGAGACTCATGACAGTTCAGCCCTGGTGGGAGGAGGTCATTTTATATTTAGGCACCTTAGAGGTGGATGGAGGAGCCGAACTTGTGGCACTTTCTGAGCTGGAAAGCACCGGCGGGCCTGGATTTGTGCTGGAAGTGTCGTTGCAGCACAGGGAAGGGCTGGGACAGCTGTACTGTGCTGGAGACGCATCCGTCGCAATGCCTCTGCCCATGATGGCAGCAGGATCAGCACTAACAACCCCAGCTCCCTGGGAGAGGTTTTCAGCCTTGTGCACTAGGGACTAGATGATCCCAATGATCCCTTCTGGCCATGACATGGATGGACATGGAAGGATCTCGAATCGTTTCCATTCTAAACCCGTTGTTTCTGGTAATGATTTTCACCCGCCAGGCTGAACATGCAAAAAAACCCTGCAGCATCCTTATAGGCTTGGCAGTGCTACGCTGGCTAGCACTACGGAAGAAAGAGACTTGGGGTCATCATTGACCACAAGATGAACATGAGCCTGCAATGCGATGCTGCGGCTAGTAAAGCGACCAAAAC